ATCCCTGTATCCTGGACCCTGAGAATAGGGTGTACAGATGAAAATGCAGACCTCAGTGTCTCAGCTTTGACTGACGGATAAATTTTTCTGGGAAGCCACACAATATAGGTTATGATAAGACCTCTTTAAAGCAGATTTTACCAGATTTTTTGATCATTGGAAGAGACAAGAATCAAAGTTTCCCCCTTAACCTCAGAGATAAAAGTTTTCATAGGAATTAAGGCCATTTACAAAATATGGGAAATTATGTTACAAATATTCCATCAGTTTGATTTTTAAATAACTGGGAAATTTTGTTCCCTTAGGTATGATGTGTAGAATTTTTAATAATTGACACCTTCCCAAGCACCCTTAAAAAAGAAAACCAAGCCAGGCACAGTGGCTCATGTCTATAGTCCTAGCTACTCAGGATGCAGAGATTGGTAGAATTGTGGTTCAAGCCCAGCCGAGGCAAAAAGTTTGTGAGACTCCATCTCAACCAATGGCTGGCTGCAGTGGTACATGTCTGTCATCCAAGGCTCTGTGGGGAAGCATTAATAGGAAAATTACAGTCCAGTCCTGCCTAGGCGAAAAATGCAAGACAGTTTTAAAAAAAAAACTAAAAGCAAAAAAGTTTGGGGGTGTGGCTCAAGTGGCAGAGTACCTGCCTAACAAGTGCAAGGCCCTAAGTTCAAACCCCAGCACTGCCAAAACAAAAACAAAACAATTCAATCAGGAATTTTCAAAATTTTCTGCCAAATTAAGAGCAGAGAAGAACAAATGAATATTCTTGACAGAATGGGAGTTTGGGCAAAGGAGCTGTTATGGGTCAATAATGTAGCCAATGAAATACTAAAATTTCTTTCAAGTCTTCTTTTTAAATATTAAAACCATATGAACTAGTGTGATGGTTCACACCTGTAATCCCAGCTACTTTGGGAGTCTGTGGCAGGAGGATCTTGAGTTTGAGGCAAACCTGAGAAAATAGTGGGTCCCTGCCTCAGAAAAGCAAAACAAAATAAAAACAAAATCCATGTGACTATTTAAGTTTATACCATAATAATCTGTGTTTAAGGATATATTAAGATTATTTGTTTGTTTTGTGGTGCTGGAGATTGAACCCAGGGCTTTGTGCACACTAAGACCATGCTCTACCACTGAGATACATCCCCAGCTAATTAAAATGTTTAAGATTATTGTTTTGGGGGACAAAATGTACTACTTGTCTTTTTGGTTGTACTACTTTGCTTTTCGTGGATTCTGTTCATGTCAGAAGACTGAGCTGAGCTGAGTGCCGGTGGCTCATACCTTCAATCCTAGCTACTCAGGAGGCAAAGATCAGGAGGATCATGGTTCGAACACAGCTCAGACAAATAGTTTGAGAGACCCTATCTTGAAAAAACTCATCACAGTAAAGGGGGGGGGAGGGGGGTTGGTGGAATGGCTCAAGATGTAGGCCCTGAGTTCAAACCCCAGTACTGCAAAAAAAAGAAAGAAAACTCAGCTGAACGGAAGACAGCTGACACTAACAAGCTGGCAGCAGTTTTCCACTGTCACGAGTTATCACAGGGTTAAAATGAGGATATATTCTTAGAATGCTAAGAGTCATGTCTAACATTCCAGGCTGCTATGATAGAAAATTTCGATAGCTGTATCATCCTGCTTAGAGGCCATGTAACCTGTGTCATAGATCTGAACAGCTGCTTCAGCTGTTCAGGAACATTCACAAAAGTTGGAATGTGTTCTGTTCTTTGTCAGGACTGCTTTTAAAATCTTCTCAGACCTTCTACTAAATAGGAACCACTGGTTGTAGGGCTCAAAGATCTACAACAAAATTTTAGTAAATTTTCCCGATGGTTTTGATGCACATGGAGGCGTTTTATATGTTTAAACATTTTCTAGGAGAACAAAAGAGGAAAGGGATCAATTTCAGTATAAGAAGAATCAAAATAAGAAAAATTGGACTTTTTAAAAAATTATTTTCTCCGGCAATGAGCATTTACTTGTTTATTTTGGTGGTACTGAAATTTGAACTTATTAATAGTGCTTGAGAAGAGTTCTCTCTCAGAAGTTTCACCTCTTAGTGCTGGCTAAAAACTTCTTGCAAGAAGACTTTACCATTGCTAAGCCATTGAACTGCTGTGAGGAAGGGAGTGAAGATGATCACCTAATTCTTCAGGCATTTTAGACACAATATTAATTCCTTGACTAATCAACAACTGAGCAATATCAATAACATTTGTTGATTCACCAAGAGCCAAAGAAGACTACTTAAAATTATTCATTTTGTTAATTAACTACTGATGTTGCTCCTGATATCACAACTCTTAGTGCAACTGTACACAACCAAAGGCTAATAGTTTTAAACAAGTTTGTTCTTTCTGAACACATTTTGTTTTTTCATTTTGCGGCCACTTATTATTTGCGTGACTCTGAGGCAGATAGAAATAACACCCTTCAGTTAGTAAAAATGATACCCCCTTTTTATGGGAGGGGAGAGGCCATACATATACAGTGAAGAGAAATTGACAAGATTTGCAGATTTTATTGCTGTGTAACTGCTAAAAAAAGGTTTTGCCATACTGGTAGGCCAATCAGTCCATTAAATACATTTAATTTGCTTTCTAGAACATCATAAAGGCACTGAATCCGGAGCTCAAGATGAGTTCATTACAATAGAAATAGACACCGCATTTCTGTCTTTTAGTGGTTTGAGTCTTAAGAGAACACACAAATCCCCACAGATAGCAGCAATATATATAACAATGATCACATAGCTAACACAAGCTATTCAAATGATACATTTGGTTTTGTAAAAACAATTGTTCAACATCTCCTCACTGGTACTGTAGCCACCCCCACACCCCACACTATACCGTAGGAGGATCCCTACAGCCAACTACCAATCCCTTCTTTCCTTATCAACCAGATTTCCTTATCAACCTCCTCTCACTGGACACATTTCTTTAGTTGCTGCAATCAAACGTGTCTGGTTTTGTGTCAATACCATGCTGTTTTTGCTACTATGGCCTGTAATATAATTGGAGGCTGGGTATTGTAATACTGCCACCATTTTGTTTGTTTGTTTGTTTAAGATTATTTTGGCTATTCAGAGTTTTTCATGCTGCCATATTGATTGATTGATTTACTTTTTGGTGTTGGGGATGGAACCCAGGGCCTCACAAATACTAGGCAATTGTACTACCACTGGGCTACAGTAGCAGCCCGAAGCATTACAACTGATGTCTACTTTTTTGTTGTTTTATTCTGACATGAGGGTTATAGATTAACCATATATATCAGGATGCAGTGATACATAAGTGCTGTCAAGCTATAACTGTGGTCTGGGAGAAACTATCATAGAGCCATATAAATGTCTCTGTCATGTGGGCTGGGGATGTAGCTCATTGGTAGAGCACTTGCCTAATATGTACAAGGCCCTAGTTTTGATCCCAAGCAACACACAAACATTTTTTTTTAATTGAAATATATGTCCCTGTCATGACTCAACTCTTCTATTGTGGGTTAAAAGCAGACATAAACAATATGTGAATAAATGTGGCTGTGTTCCAATAAAACATTTTGATGGACATTGAAATTTGAATTTCATGTAATTTTAATGGATCACAAAATACTATTGTTCTTTTAATTTTTCAGCTGTTAAAGAATTTTTAGCTCCAAGGATTTTTTTATTTTTCTTCTGGTGGTATTGGAGTTTAAACTCAGGGTTTTGTGCTTGCTAGACAAGAGCTCTACCACTTGAGCCATGCCTCCAGTCCTCAAACGATCTGGTAAAAGCAGGTAGAAATCCAGATTTAACCTGCAGGCCATGATTTGCTGATCTCTGGTCTGGAGCATGAAAAGCTTTTCGAGATAAAGTTAAGAAAGAAGTTTCTGGAACACTTAGTTCTTTGCTGAACTCAGAAGAAGCAATGGTTATGTCATGGGGCAAATATCAGATAGATGAGAACTGACTAGTGGGTGGAGATGGAAAATGGCAGTTATACATTACCCTTTCATGAAAGTTGGCATTGAAAAGGGGAAAGAAATGATAGACTTAAGAGAAAATTTGGGAACAAAATGGGCAAAACTTGCAAATGAGCAAATAAATGAATGGGTAAATAAAACAATTTATGTGTATATCCACACAATGGAATTTTACTTAGCCACAAAAAGAAAATAGTGATACAAGCTACAAAATAGATGAAACAAAAACATTTTGCTCAATGAAGGAAGCTTGTACTAGAAGACCATATATGGCCTGATTCCATTTACATAAAATGTCCAGAATAGACAAAATATAGAGAAAGAGAGTTGATTCATCCACTAGTGGGGGGGTTGGGGAAGAGATAGGGAATTGCTACTGTTGGGTATGGGTTTCTTTTGGGGGTATTGCTTTGTAGTCTTTATCTGATGAGCTGGTGTCTGGAGTCCCTGGGGATGTTTCTGCTGGATGCTGTTTTGCCCAAGGAGTCTTTTCTCTCCCTGCATCTCTCTGCCTTTGATGGTATGTGGGACTTTGCATTTGAAATTTTATTTTAAGAGACCATTTGAAGCATAGATGAATGTTATCTTTTTCAGAGGAGGAATCTGCTTTTTCCAGGCACTCAGGAGTGCCAGCAATCAGGTATTGTCTTAATCTAATTCTATGCTAGGGATTTTCTGGACTACTAAGAAAATTTGACTTGAAGCTGGGTAGCAGACAGTGCTGCTTCTCTACTTCCATATTGCCCATAATTCCTGGTGTGTCACCAGTGCCTTGCCAAGCCACACTGGACACTGAGCCAAAAGAAACCCAGTGATACCAATCCTGGTGTTTTGAGATTTTGTTCATGGATTTTTTTTTTTTTTTTTTGCAGTGCTGAGGTTCAAACACAGGACCTTGCACATGCTAGGCAAGTGTGCTACTGAGGCAGGCTAAATAGGGAAAGTTCTGGGACTCTTAAAATAGCTATGACTTAATATTATATTATATTAAGATATATTTCAGGTTGAACATTCTTCTCTTTCTCTGAGCCTTCTTTTCAATTGCAAATGTATGTAAGTTATTCACACCCTGGTCTGGGACAACTCAAACCATCCCCACCTCACTCCAGAGACCACCCATGCTCTTCCCCACTCATTGATTATTATTGGTGGTTGTGAATCACCAGGTTCTTCCCTTCCTGTAAGTTAGCATAGGTTTTTAAAGCACCTGGAAAGAGGAAGATGCTCTCTCTGCTTCTGGCTTCCACCTGCCCCACCATGGCCTTCTGTAACTCCTTTCCCTAATCTTTAATAAGCTCTATTACCTTCCTAACTACACCCACCTGTCCTGCCTGAATGCTTCCAGGTGGGAAACAAAGAATTTGGGAATCTTCTGATCAGAGTCTACACAAGCCTACAACTCTACCTACCCCCAGACTGGATTTTCTTTTTTCATTTTAAAAAATACTGTATTATTTATCTAGATTACTGAGGGGTATTTTGGACTCCCTAAGTTTTGCAGCTGAGGTTAATACTTCGTTGACTTCAGGGTACTCCTAGACTTGAGAGTTTTACATCTTGAGGATGTAATCTGAAGATAACAAACATATTTGTGGGCCACCCCAAGTTCCTAGAAAATCCCACAGAAGTTTTGGGGGCACTCTGTTAATTTTCTCCTTTATGATGTCACTTATGATTAACTAAAGACTTCCACATGATTAGGGAATGAAGTACATTAAACACAAACATTTTACTTCCCCCGTAACTGCCCTAAAATGCTATTAGCAGAGTAAAAAGCTTAAAACTCACAAAACTAACAGAAAGGAAGAGAACAGTAAATGAGAGATGTCTGAATGTTTGGACAACTGATGAAAGAGCAAATCTGACACAGATAGCAATGGTGCAGGAGGCTGAGTCCTCCTGCCTACAGATACAGTGAGAATTGGGCCAGCTCATCCCAGAGAGTCCCAACAAAAATGTAACCGGGGAGAGAGCATAATTCACACTTACCTGTTGTGTTCCATAATGTACATTTACTGTAACACCTCAGAGATAATGGAACTGTCCAGTGTATTGTCATAAATAGATTAGATGGCACCTAGATCAAGTACCTCTAGAAAATATTCGAGTGTGTGTGTGTCTGTGTGTGCTACTGGGGTTTGAACTGATGCTTGTTAGGCAGGCGCTCTACCACTTGAGCTATGCCCCAGCCCATTTTGTAATAGCAATTTTTCAGATAGGGTCTGATGTTTTTATCTGGCTCTAGCTTCAGAGCACAATCCTCCTACATATGCCTCCCAGTAGCCAGGACTACAGACATATCACCATGCCCATATGATTTGCTGGGATGAGGCTCCTGCCAACTTTTTGTTGGGATGGCCTCAAACTATGATCCTCTTGAACTCCACCTCTCAATTAACTTGGATTACACAGATACGCACTGCCATGCCTGGCCTCAAAAATGTTCTAATGTTCTAATATGCTAACAATGCTATGATTATCTCAAAGACTAAGGATTGAGCTAAAATACCAGGTGACTTGGGGTGACCAACTTCCTCCAGAAAAGTGTAGGGCCTTACACAGACTGAAAATTTGGGGGACTGCATAAGCTACAGCAACCTATAGCATACTGCAGACAAATAGGAATAAGTTGTTCTTGTTACTTTCCACCTCTTACACTACACTAGGGCTTCAACACCTAGTGGGGCTGTTTGGCTGATGGAGAAGTCACATCTTTGTTTTAGGGATGACGTTAGCATGAATCCATAAAATTACCCAGAAAAAGGCTATATTTGCTTGAGGATCTGAATAGCAACAGGGGTTCTTAGAACCGTGGAAGACTGCAGCCTATTATTTCCTTACAACTGTATAGTCCTAATGATGAAAAAAATTGGAAATGTCAGCCAGCTGCACTTGTGCCAACTGAACTTTCTGGCAAAGTCCAAGTCACTGGTCAATGATGACCTCTGGTCCTTTGAACTAGAAAAATACCAAATGCTGCTATTATACTCCTTTTGAAAAACTCTGAACAATCTTGGTATTCAACAGTTATGAAACAGTCTCAATGACTGTTTGGCTGAGGGACATAACTTACTAAGACCTGAAATACCCAGGGTATCATAGGTGATAAAAGCATTTCAACATGAAGGGCAATGTCCAAAGAGACTCAATTCTAAAATGGAAATGGTATATATACAAGCACACTACTGGAGTTTCCATGAGAGGACCTCATTGTGTATACAGCAAGTAGGCTCTATTCTCCTGACTGTAGAGTCTCCCCAGGGAGACTTGCTTGCTGTAATTGTTGAAGACCCTTTTGTTGCCACCAGTTGCCCAAGAATGTTGGCAATCAGCTTAATGATGGTTCCAGAATCAAGGATCAGGTCTCAATTTGGAACAGCTGTCCTAAATCTTGCATGTGACAAAATCCTCACTGAAGAAGGTAAGAATAAGTCGGCACAATGGGCTGTTTTCCTGACATAACTGAACATGAATTAAAACCCTCATGGCATATATTTGGATGTAGAATTGTTGACAATGAAGTCTAGCAAATAGAAAACTGGGTAACAGAAAGGACCTCTTCCACTCCTGTGCATGGTACTGCTCTTTGGAGATCTCTAAGAGAATTCTAAGGGCAAATAAAACTCAGGCATGATGATGTTTTTCAAATAAGCCCTATGCCAGGGTCTGAGGTCACTGCAGTCAACATGCTCATGCCCTAGTTTGACCTCAATCCATGAAATGAGTAGACACAGGAGAAATTCAATCTATGTAGTGGTGTGCTAAATGATGACATGTCACTGGCCCCTGTTGATGCTCAAAGTTATAATAAAACCTGCCTCATTTGCACTAAGTCTCTATTTCTGCTGAAGACATATTCCATGTCCTAGGGACATCACATACCTGGCAAGTAACTTGCACTCTTTTTACCTACTGTTTGGAGCGGGGTTGAAAATTATCAGGATATGTTTTGGGATTGGCTTTAAGCCAACACTGATAACTCTATAGGGGAACTGCAACAGCAACAATATGTAACAACATAAAACCCTATGTGTAGTACTAGTTTGGTTCTCCTAGTCATGTTTCATCACATGAAAACACACACTGCACTGCTTACAACAAGGAGAAACACAAGCCTGTCCAATAGGCTTTTCATACTACTTTCACCCTCAAAGTAAAGGGTTAACAGAAAATCGGGCCCAGTAAAATACCTGCTTTAAAAATGAGTGGTAACAAAGGATTGAAGGGCTGGTTTCAATACTGATAGCAATTATGTAGAACCTAATAAAACATAATTCAGATATTGACAATCAAATGTGTTGAGATATTGCACTCAAACTCTAACAGGGCATGTCTTGAGCAATGTTAGGTTGATTACAGTTCTTTATTTTTTTCAGGACTGAGAATGGAAGGTCTCACACATGCTAAGCAAGAGCTCTACCACTGGCTTCACATGGCCAGCTGGTGATTACAGTCCTTAATCACTCAATAGATGCATACCATAAGTAAAGACGACTATTGATCAGGGAGGCAAATGAACTGTAAAGTTAGTTAAAAAATATGAAAAAGTTTATCCTGAAATTTTGGCAGGGGGACAGGGTCTTGATATGTAGCCCAAGCTGGCCTTGAACTCTCCATCCTCCTACCTCAGCCTTCCAAGTGCTGGGATTAAAGGCTTGTGTCACCAATCCTGGGTGGTTCAACTAACTGTTTAAATCCAAACCAGCTGGTTATTACAACTGTGTGAAATCTGTATGTACATTTAAACATTTTTAATTTTTTATGTACATTTTTCATTAGCAATATTGCAAGACAAGTAGTTGCTCTTAAACTAAAAGTGATCATTTTGTCATAAAAAAGCCTTGATCATGGATCAGGGGTATAAAATGTGATATAAAGAACTGTTTTGAGCATATGACTTTTCTGAGGTGGGGAGACATATCACACTGCACACATGGGTCACAGTGCTGGAATTATAAAACAGATGATAGTTGATGAGGCAAGTTTCTGAAGAGGCAGATTAGATCAAAGGATGGTTGTGTGGATTAGACCTGGTTAGAAGATTCATAGCTTTTTCTGCAGCACTGAAAGATATGTCTCTTTTAGATGGTGGGTGAAGTCAATGCAAGAGTTGCAATGAAAGCCTGACTTTTCTCCCTAAAAACTTAGCTGCTTTAGGCCAGGAAAGACAGAGAACTTTAACCAAATGTGCCTAAATCTGTAGACTGGACAGAAGTTGAGGGAAGTAATGGCTGATGTCTCTGTTTTCTCAAAGAAAAATGAAACAACACGACCAGCGAAGAGAATATAGTAAAGATGTAGAATAGGTACTGAGGCATATGCAGAGGGTGCAGAGTAGATGAGGACATCAGTATGTACCTATCCACACAACTCCAAGACTTCTCAAGCAGGATTCTGTCCAAGTGTAGAACTGACAGGAGTTTCTGTGATGGATGAAAAAGGACACAGGGTCATAAAGGAGTTAAAGGAATTGGCAAGGGAACGGTTGAAACTTGTGACTCATTTCAAAGTATACATCCTATGCAGACTTACGAGTAAAAAAGCATTCATTAACTTCAGAGCTAATAAGACTCCCTTTCCTTTCTGGGGCTTAGGAGTAGTCCTATGTTCAGAGATATTGAGATATTTTTGAATGAGTAAATTAATAAACTAAATCTGACTTTGTTAAGTATTTCTAAATACCAGTATCAGTTTTAAATTTGGGATGCATATTTGATTATTTCAGAGAATTAGAATTCTGTCCCAAGAGCTACACATTCTTTAATTTATATACACTACAGTAACTAGACTGATGTCAAGAACTCTAATAAAATCCAATTTGGAACACAAAAGTTTATTAGAATAAAAATACACGTACAATATCCAACATTAAAATTATTTCACATCACATACAGGCTTTTATCTCCACTAGTTTTTTAAAAATGCTTTTAAAGTCTATGCTTTAAATTATTTGCTCATATGTAAACAAATCTTAGATTACCAAAGACGCAGTGTATCTATTAGATATTAAACATTAAAATTTAGAGCTGGGAATTGATAGTTATATTCTATTACACTAAATATTCTGTAAATTTTTGGAAAGAGAGGAGCAAGATCAAAATACTTCACTTGAAATGAGGTAAGCTGTATGACAAGGTTTTTAGTTGTACATATCACAAATGTTGAGATGAGAATATTAAGAACATTCATGGAAAATTCACTTAAATGTTTGCATAGTTTAAATTCTTTCAAAAAAAAAAAAGCTACCCAGATTTCTCTTTGAAAAAAAGAGACAATTATTTGGTTCTACTTCGGATGTGTGTACTTTTACGTTTTCTCTCATTTAGAAAAAAGAAGTCATACAAATATTCACGAGTCCACCAAAAAGGGAAAAACAAATTGTTAGGACCAACATTTCAAGCTGCCTTTTGGAAAGAAAATTAAAAACAGAGGTAGATGGTTAAATATTAGTGGCCAAGTTATTCAAGTGACTAATTTTTGTCTTGGTACAGATTCTCCCAAGTTTTATACTTGAAGCCAAATAGTAAATAACTTCAGAAGAAAGCAGTACCTAGCAGAAGTTATTTTCCTTATATCAAAGAAAAATAATAAAAGTAAACCAGGCTTGAGACCCCTATTAAGGATATGATTGTTTAAAGCACTACAGTACATGCACTTTTTAAAGCAGGAGAATGAACCTTGCCTCTAAGCTTCTCAGGTGTATCTGGGGCAATGCTACAAGCCCCACCAGACCTGCTCAGTCAAAGTAGGACTGAAGGGTGCCTCGGCGCCTGACATCACAGGTCCAGCAATGGAAGCCTCCTCCCAGGGAATTGGCATTACGGATATTAACCTTTATGGCACTGATACCTGCATTGAAAGAGAGGGACGAGGTCAGTTCCACGGACTAACACGAAGTCTCCTTTAGAAAGTAAGCCTAAATATTTGGTGGAAGCCTATGGTTCTAATCTTCAGGACAGCCCAACCCAGAACAGTCTCTTCCCACTTTTGTTTTCAGAAGCTATATTTCATCTACTCTGTCTCACTGCTAATAGCAAATCTTCACCTAGAAACAGACTGAAGTTTTGTTCTATCAACTGTTCACAGTCAACAGACTGAACGAGCAGGTATGCCTACCACATGTTCAAAAACAATCAAGTACTAAAATTTCAAGACTGTTTCTAATTTTACCATGTTAATTTAGTTGGAAAAGTGTAATTTAGTCAACCCGAAAAGTGAATTTTACATAGTCAGATATAAAGAGAGTTTCTCTGATACAGATTAACCTTGCTAGGTCAACTTAAGGAAACAAATGACCAAAGATGATATTTTAATATTTGGATTGTATGGTTATATGTATACCAAAGCTAGTTAGAGAGCTAGTTTAATATGGTACCATCTATAATGTCATGCCTGTGATGTGCAAGGGCTATTTAAAGCAAGGATATTTAGGAAGATTCTGTCATACTTAGACATGGTAGGGTTTTAAAAAGATAATCTCTTCTCTTCTTTCACTGTTTTGATGGGTTAGGTAAGCTACAGAGCTACTATAGGGAGAGAAAGGATACATGAATCATCCAGAAAGACTCTTTTGAAGAGGTGAGGCTTATTAGGACTTTGAAGACTAAGAATGGGGTCTGGACAGGTGTTAGAAGTGGATTTGGGATAAGGGGTGAACTTTTAAACATGAAAAACCTATCTTATCTTATCTTGGAATGCAACAAAGGAACAAATAATTTCTTCTGGATAGCATACCTGAAATACAAGGTAACTTTTTAATGACTCAATTTCAACAAGTAAACTTCCTGGCTCTTATTTAATGGCCACTCAGTGTATGTCAAGTATATTAAGGGTGATGAATACACACACATCTGTGCTCTATACAATAGCTCTTATGAACAGTCTTTCTTTCAACATTTTTATCAATAGCATCAGAATCATTGCTCTGAATTTTAAGTATGTGGGTAGGCAAACTCCCCCCTGGGAGTAAATCCCAGGCCTGCTCTTCATTTCAAAGCTGAGTGATCTCCTGCCACCTCCACTGCATTTCAGTACTTTGTTAACAGTGCTCCAAGTACACACAAGCCACTTCTCTATCTGCACCATTATAAGGCCTTTAAAATATTGACCTACTTTTAAAGGATCCTTAGTAATTTCTTATTTGGGGAAGGGCTGACCAATCCAAAAGAGGTAATTCCACACATGGGTCTCAGAAAAGGGACTGAGTCATGGAAGATGGATAAACTTATTGCTACAGAAGTGTTTCAGGGGCTCTGGATACAGCTGCAACTTTTTGAAGCTATGCTTGTTGAGAACAGAAATACTGGCCATTTGACAAAATAATAATTGGACACTCTAAAAGGAATAGAAATTGAATTTCATAAACCATACATCAGACCTCGTGCCATTTCCTCAGTTTTTGTTGAACATTTCACATGTGACAGACATTTTACATGTATCATACATACCCAGCTTCTCAAACATCTTTTGAATTGGGACTTCGTTGGCATCCACCATAACACGTTTTTCATCTAGCATTAAGACGTTCATAGAAAGCCATTTGGATGACATCCAGAGTGGATGATCTGAAAATAGCAACAAATGTTAAACCATGTCTGGTAGCAGCTTTGTTTAAAGCAGGACTTATAAGGGAAGGATATTAAAGTGACAGCTCAATTCTTTTCCCTAAATTACTTTTCATGTGAAAACTTGTTTTACTTATTTATTTATTTTTTGAGTTAAGGTCATGCCAAATAGCCCAGGCTGGCCTTGAACTTGGGATCCTCCTTGTGCCACCGTACCTAGCTTGCTCCTGCCTGCCTGCCTGCCTGCACTGGGGATTGAATGAGGGCCTTGAGCATGCTAAAAAGTGTTAAACTGACAACTGAGCTGTATCTCTAGCCCTGAAAACTTATTTTCAACTTATGATAGTTTATCTGTAAATGTTATAAATCAATACATTTTCACCACACAGTTGGACTTCAACTTGTTTTCTTTTAAAAGTCACTTCTTGCTTTATGTAATGCTGCTTTATTCTGTCTTCTCACTTTCACTTTCTGTGGGAGAGAAAGTTGCAAACACAAATGCCAGCCCAGTCCTACTACCAAGTCACCACTTTATTCCTTAGTGGTGAAACATTTTCTCCAGTTTGCTAAAAATGTGGATTGCTCTCTATAGGTGAGAGTCAGTGACATGACTAAGTATATTATAGTAAACATACCATCTGGGATGACTGGGGTTGGAGGAGTAACTATGGTCCATCCTGCTTTCTTGAAAAGATCAATCTGCAAAATGAAATAAACCCCAAAGGCTTAAATCCATATTTACTATTATTCTTGGTCTCTAGTAGTCCTTATCTTTAAATTTTTTTTTTACTTATGGATTTGTTTTTTTGAGACAGGGTCTTGCCATGTAGCCCAGGTTGGCCTTGATCTCATGATTCTCCCACCTTGGCCTCCCAATAGCTGCGATTACAGGTGTGCACCACCATGTCCAGCTTTATCATTAACAATTCCTCTTGGCAAGCTGTCTTTGCAAATGCCAAAATAAGGAAGTAAGATTTTCAGTGTTTGGATGATTTTGTTTAAATTCTAATTTAAAATGTACAGATAAACCCCAGATTAAAGTTAGAAAGTAAAAAGAGATATTAAAGTTTTTAAAGCTTTTCTCAGGTTTCAGAAACTTAAAATACCAAAGATACTTTCCTTAAGACAGCCTCATTAAAGAAAATAACAATATTTCCTAACCAGTTAGTTAGAAGAAAATAAAAATATGATTGTCAAACTCATAATCCATCTACTTAATAGTCCGTCACTTTCTGGCCATTGTATAAAGGCAAATGTTAGGGATTTATTCTTGACAAACTATAATCATCATTAGTTACTTATTATGTCAGCCATCTTTATGTTCATACCATATACCCAATTAGTTTATTAATAAATTGTATTACAATGTCTTGAATCTTGGTCATTGGGTCTGAAAATAAGGGGCAGACATGAATTGTAACACAGTATAAAAGTGCTTTGAAAAAGCGTACTGTGGCCTTGCAAATAACACAAATATCCCTTACTGCCCAATTGGACCTAGAAAGCAGCAGGTAGAAAGTAGAAGGCTGCAGGGAACGAGACCAGCTGCACTGCAGTGACACCATTCCTTCCTGTAGAGCGGGTCTGGCTGAAGAGAGTGTGACCCACTGGATAGAGAAGACACCCACTACCCAGTGGCATTGCTGTAATCATGCAGAAGTCATTTGTTTAGAATTCAGTGGTGTGGAACTGCTATTTGCAAACTATGAGCTAATATCACTGTTAGATAAAAATACACTCATATGCACAAATTTGATGTTTTGACAATAGCAAGCAACTAAAGTCAAAAGTTTGATGATACTAATTATCACAGCAATGATGTATATTTCTGAGGTTGGACATTTTGTAATAAATACACAATAAGCAATCTAATGTTTGATCAGAATACTATTGAACAATACTAACTTTGTCACTTACGACCATTAGAACCATGGAAGTACTTAAAATAAGGTTGCGAGGCTCCATTGCTTTTCCAGTGTCTCACAAATTCTTACCTGGTGACATGGTCGGTCAGGGTTGGAAAGTACAAGACCAGGTCCAATGATGTTGAAGGTAGCATCAATATGCATTGGATTGGGGTCTTTAAAGGAAATGATATGTACTCTGTAGTCAGGAGCAAGATGCCTACGCATCCACTCAATGCCCAGGCAATTTGTAACCTGAAAATAAAAGGAAGACACGCAATCTGTAAAGATTTGGTTCTATGTGTAGAAAACTAAAAATATGTAGGATTAAACTATTTTAATTTAGAAATAAAGAATACAATAAGATAGCATGGAATTTCAGAGTCATCCTTTACCAACCTGGCTTCTCTGTGCAAAAATATCTCTTCCAGCTCGAATAAAGTCAGCAGCATCAAAACATGGCTCAAACTCAGTAGTCACAAATTTTCCCTGAGCAGCCAATTTGTGTCTGTCTTCCACAGAGTGGATGGGATAATCCTAGTTGGAACAAGAATGAACACATGCAATGCATTGGTTTCATAAGGAATTTATTTACAAGGACATGCATTATTAAATAAAAAAATTAGTTCAACATCATCATTTCCCTAAATACTACTATTCAGTTCTAGACTAAAGTATGCATAGGAAAGATGTAGGTCCATGATAAACAAACCAAAACACAAAAGTACCACCACAACAAAATAAAAAACTAGGCACCACAGCAATTTTGTAATACTTAGAAGCAAGTGTATGGCAGTAATTGATTCTGAAAATATTCCAGGACCCATGAACACATATATGCAGCTATCTAGAATACTGAGAGCCAGCAGGATGAAGTCATTATGCTCTTTTAGAAAAGGAATGTGGTCCTGAGCCTAACTTGTATCATAAAATGAGACACCATGCTTCCCCTGCCAACTTGGGTGTGGTGGAATTAATTCAGTCTTTAAACTTCTAGAAGAAATTTTGATTTAAAACTTTTTTCTATAAATGATCAAGTAACAAATGTTTTAATTAGAGAAACACAGCCATCCCTCAGTATCTGCTGGGAGACTTCCAGGACCCCTGATAGATACTAAAATCCACGAATGCTCAAACCCTGTTGGCATATAACCTATGCGTAGCCTTCTGTATATGTTAAATCATCTCTAGATTACTTATCCTACCTATGCAATGTAAATGCAATAAAAAAATTGTTACACTGTGTTCTTTAGGGAATAATGACAAGAAAAAAGTCAGCACATATTCAGTAAGACAATTTTAAAATTTTTTTTTATTGTTTTATTATTCATATGTGCATACAAGGCTTGGGTCTTACTCTGTGTGGATTATTTAGAAGAGTTACCAATAAGCTAGCCCATAATCAGGGACCTACCTGGTCGTAAAGCTCATCAGCCATTGTGGGCTTAGGGGCCGTTGTCCATTTGGCACCACGGTGGAAGTAGTCTTTGATAATTGACCTGTATGCTCGGTACTCAAAGAAGCGTGCACGCCATGCCATGGGGGCCTCGATAATTTCATTTCCCACAACTATCAGGATGTCACGTGGCATCGCACCGTATAAACCTGTCAGATCAAAGCGTTCCACAACCACCGTAATGCAGATTTCCAAGACAGAGAGGGTATGTAAGACGATCTAGTGTTTTGGTAAAACAATTACTAAAAACCTTGTATCTGTGTGTATATATACACAATTAGAAGATGGAGAAAATGGAATGATACATGCTAGATTGTTAATATACATACAATGAAGTTTTATTCAGTCATAAAGAAGAATGAAATTTTGTCATTTGCAGGAAAATGGATGGAACTGGAAGTCCTGTCAAACAAAATGAGGCAGTGTCACAAAGACAATTATTGCATGATTTCTCTCATGTGGAATTGAGGAGGAAAAAGACATGACTGTAAAAGGGGGGACTATTGGGGAAAGCAGGAGAGGGGATAAGAAAGGGTGAATAAAGGGGGATTAATATACAATTAATATATGCTAAAATAATAATATACAATTAATAGACGCTAAAAAAAGAAATGATTTCTGTGTAAGGGTGGAGATGCCAAGCAAAAAAGGGAAAGAATAAAAATGAAGCAGTAAAGTGGTTGTTCAAGGAGATCTTGAACCACCAAGCCTTCTCCATTTGTCAGTTCCTTTCCTGCTATACAGAAGCAGGGTTCTTAGAGAGTTATCAATGTCACAAAATGAAAAGTGGGCCAAGAATCATTCTGGAACTATAAATTATAGTCAGAACTTAAGCACATGAATAGCTGTGCATCGATGCCAGTTAAAAAGAAAATGGCAGGCTGGTAGAGTGGTTCAAGTGGTAGATTACCTGCCTGGCAAGTGTAAGGCCTTGAATCAAACCCCAGAACTGCCAGGGGGGAAAAAGAGTATTTTCTGTTCCTAAGAAAGTGCTAGGGGTATATAGCTTAGTGTCAAAGTGCTTGCGTCACATGTGCAAAGCCCTGGGTTCAATCCTCAGCATCACAAAATAAATAAATATCAAAAAGTCTGTTCTTAAAGAAAAGTAAATGGAATTCATTGTTGTTGTGTTAAGGAGATGACCATAAAGTTTAAGAAAAACTGCTTCTTTCAAGAACCACCAGATTTACTATGGAGGTTAGAATGTCAATCTCTTAATCATATCAAAATGAACCAAACTGTTCCTAAATAACCTTTAAAGATTTGAGGGAATAATAAAACAAGGACTCTCCAAGAATTTTTCAGAACTTTCTTCATACATATTCAAGAAAGAAATTCAAAGTCGAGGCACTTACCCGTGGATTCAAAATCAGGAGTTTTATACTTCAGCGACCAGTCAATGGGGTCAGGCCTTCTCACTGTCACCCCTTCCATTTTTAAAATATTGCACATTTCTTCAATTTCAGCCACAGCATTTCTCAAATGATCTTTGGGAAAATAATGCCCTCCATATTTCTGGTAAAATGGCCAGTACTTTTCATATGTGTTGGCCTAGAAGTAGAAGAAAGTAAATGAAATAATTACAGTAGAAAAATATAATTCAAAGTAGGTTCATGAGTGGAAAACAGTTCTTTGTACAATGTAACAGAACTGAGACTTGAGAGGGGGACATGTTTTGTTCACTGTTGATCCCCAGCATTGAGCACACTGGCTCTCTGCTCCATTTTTGTTGAATGAAGAACTCTAAATTATCTTGACATTTGGAAGCCTTTCTGATCCTTCTGCCTCAGATCTCATGCCCAGCCACTAATAGCACGTCAACCTCCAGACAGACTTGGCCATGCTTCACAGACAAAACAGGACACAGCACCCCTTGTTACAGATTGTCAATGAAATTAAGCAAGAGACAAACTAGCATAAGGGAATGAAAAACACCTGTATGAAAAAAAAACCATGGGCTATCAATGTATCTCAGAATTCTGTCTGGAAAATATTACCTCAAGATAGTCTGTGGGCAAGAAAAAAAAGATATTTTGTCCCTGTTAAGATTAGGGACATACTTTCAAATATGCTTTTAAAAATCCATTACTGAGCCAGGCAGCAGTGGCTCACACCTATAATCCCAGCTACTCAGGAGGCAGAGATCAGGAGGATTGTAGTTTGAAGGCAGCCCAGGCAAATAATTTGTGAGGCCCTATCTCGAGAAAACCCACCACAGAAAAGGGCTGGTGGAATGGCTTAAGGTGAAGACCCCAAGTTCAGACCCCGAGTTCAAACCCCAGAACCACAAAAAACAAAAACCATTACTGGCTTTCCAAGTCACTAGTCTGGGTTTGGTACTTCCTAATCACTGTGACTCATATCAAACACACCTCCCCTCTCCACATCACTTCAGGCTTTTTAGATATAGAAGAAAGTGATCTGATAAACAAATTCACAAATTTTTAGTAACTGAGAAAAGTTTAACATGTAGAAAATTTCCAGAAGTTTTATGCAAAAATGTAAAAATCTAGAAAGCTTCTTCATTCAGGTTGCTTTGCATGTGTCTAAGTTCTCAGTTGATTTAAAGAAATACATTTGTACACATTTTGCATTTTATAATATGTCAAAACAGATGAAGCAGAACTCTAGTCAGAGAATCCAGACTCTACAAAAATGCCTTGGATCTTCATCAAAAGATTAGCAAAGCCTTATATATTTATATATTTTTAGTTGAAAAAATGTATAAAGCATGTATTTTTTTAAATGTTTCTTTGTATCATCGATTAACCAACAGCAGTCCTGATCATGTCAGATATAAGGAGTTTCCACATAAATCAAGATACTTGCAGACAGTGATAATTACTAAAAAGAAGTGACAGGGGTAACATCTTAAGTGTGTCTACTCTAATTAGATTTTCTTTCAGTTGGTGGTCCTGGCAGTCCAAGAGGCAGGGCAAGGAAAGAGGCTCAGGGAGGTCACATGCTTGCTTACTACCTGGACAAATAGACCTAGAACCTCAGGGCCCTGACTCTTAATCTAACAGTGTTCTGAATATAATAAGGGACTTAGCTGTGTTTTACTCTTTTGAGCATTTTTGGGGATGGGTGGGTATCGGGGTTCAACTCAGGACCTTGCACTGGCGAGGCAGGTGCTCTATCCACTCCTCCACCCTTTTTGCTTTAGTTATTTTGAGGATAAGGTCTCAAGTTTATACCCAGGCCAACCCAGACCATGATCCCCCATTTTACGATTCCTGTGTAGCTGGGATGATAGTCACAACCAACTATACCCAGATATTGGTTGAAAGGGCATCTTGTGAACTTTTTGCCTAGGCTGGCTTCCAATCCCGAGTGTCCTGACCTCAGCCTCTGGAGTAGCTAGGATTACAGGTCTGAGTCACTATCCCTGTACAAAACTTTAAAAACTAGAATGCTTATCATAGTTCATATTGTTCCCAAGGGCTTTTGTCCATCAAAACTGGACTAAATATCTGAATGTCTGGCTCTTCAATGTTAAAGACAATATTTTTTTTAGGCTTGTGTCTCTACTCCCATTATCGCCTTAGTCTGATAAATATCGAGTATATGATATTTGACTTGCCTTTTGGTCGCTCAGTATCTAGAGTCACATCAACTTGTCTGGTACTTAGCCTACAGGATAAGGAATAAGCTGAAAGAAGATCTTTAGAAAACATGAAGATTCTCTAAAAATAGGATTGATAAATTAAGGTCAGATTTGGCCTGTTGACTCTTTTTATAAACAAAGTTTTATAGAGACATTCATTTCTTCACATGCTGCTCATGGCTGCCTCTGTATTACAGGGGCAGAGTTGAGAGTTGAGTAGTTGCAATGCAGATCTCAGTTCTACACGTCTGAGTTATCTGGCCCTATGCAGAAAAAATTTGCTAATCACTGTTCAGAATCATCAACTAATTCCTATACTTTTCAATATCTATAGTAAAATAGCAGGGCTAATTTCTGACCCATGAAAAATGTTATCAGCATTAAACATATGAATATTTTTTAAGGCCAGTCTACTCTTTCAAAGACCAAACAAACAAATAAAAAAGCACTCCAGTTTTCTACTCTTAGGAATTTCTGCAGCAGCATCCAAAAAGAGAGGATAATACTGACTCTTTTTATTCCTCTTGGATGCATCCTGGTACTCCCCATCCATTCACCAGTTTCTCCTTCTCATGCTAGGCACATCTCCTACAATCCACTAAGGGACAAGAGACCTTTGAAAAGTGAACACTGAATTATAGTGGACACATGGTTATGCTGTCTTTCTAAATCCATTCCAATGTATCCTGTGTGACTATATGTGCACAGTAAAGTTTGCCTTGATATATATTAAGTCAACTTTCCTGTGAGGAAAAAGTTATTTGAACAAGTGTGAGCTGTAATCTGGCAAAGGTTGGACAAAGTCCAAATGATCAGGGCAAACTACATTTTCCAAGAGCTAGCTGGAAATTGTTTGCACTTCCTTTATACCATGACAAATGAGTTAGCAATCATTTACCAAGTGTCTGCAAGATAATAACTGCTGTATTAGAAGCTCAGCATATCATGTTTTTAATAACCTGTTGAAGGGATATGGCTGAATTCCTGGAAACTTTATAGTCCTCCAAAGCTTGAAATCCTTTATGCGGGTTTGCCAAATGAACTTCTAAATACTATCTTTGGAAGGCTAATAATTATCAATAGAAACTTACTTTTAACTTTTCTAGCAACTTATATAAATTTATATTACATTTATTAATATTTTTATTAGCCTTAATTTCATATTTTATAGAAGGTCTTCTATCAAGGGTTTTATTTTTTTAAAAGACAAAAGCAAGTATGTTTTACAGAACAAAAGGCTATTTCACTCGAAAAAATTGTGCTTCCTCATAGCCATGTTCTTTGGTTTCTTCAACTTCTCTAACACATCTTCCAACACATCTTCTGTTCTAATTGCCTTTAAACAGTTTTGCACATTATTTCATCTCTTACTGTCCTCAAGCTGATTGATTTATCTGTGTCATTCTTTTCATTGTTCTAGGGGCCATGCATGTGTTCCATTTACTCTCTTCTCAATGCCTAGCTGAGCCTGTCGTCTAAAACAGAAATAACCAGAAAAATGAATGCAATCAGTACTGCTGATGCTACTTGTAGCTATAACCACTTCACCCCCAATGTGTCTTTATAATGTAAAATTGGCAAACTGGATCCATACAGCTATAAAAAGTTATAGTTTTGACCTTCCACATACTCAGCATGTAACCTTTTACTATCAAATTTAACTTTGTCAAATAGTAAACGTCTTAGTATCTTCATTTTACTGGGACCTAGAAAGTTGTGGAATTCTGTACAGGGTCAAATAGCTAATAAACCAAGACTAGCTATCAAGCTTTTTTTTATCAAATACCTAATTCAACCCTATCTCCTGACTTTAGCATGGTATACTTTCCATAAGACCATGAAGCTATAAAGTCCAAGGTCATAAATCAAGTGACAAAGAACTCAAAATAATGTCTGTGAATTCTGACTCCATCACATGTTATAAAAGTCAGTAATTCTAAAGACAAGCAATTTTTTCAAAAAATTCAAGCAATTATTGCCTGAATTTGAACTTTAGTATCACTCAATTAAAACGGCCAGGAGATGGGCCAACTACTTTTCAAGAAAATACTTTAAAAGACCATGCCTTTTAATTTTAAAGTATGGAGATGACATGTAAATTAACCTGTTCTTCAAATTTCAAATATCGGAACCAAAGATAGTTTCAGAACAATTAGAAGATATTTTTTCCATTGCTCTGTTGTCCGGTTCTAACTCAAGAATCTCTTTTTGGCCAGGAGTGGTAGGTTGCATCTGTAGTCCCAGCTACTCAGTAGGCAGAGAGTAGGAGGATCACAGGTCAGGACCAGCCTGGGCAAAAAGTTATCAAGACCCCATCTCAACAAAACAAGTTGGGCATGGTGGCATGACTCTGTTATCCCAGTAACCCAGGAGGCCACAGGTAGGAAGATCTTGGTCTGAGGAGGCCCTGCAGGGGGAGGAGGTGTGAAGCAAGACCCTGTCTGAAAAACGACCTAAGTGAAAAGTGCTGGAGATGGATCTCAAGTGGTAGAGTTTGCCTAGCAAGCAAGCAGTACTGCCAAGAATCACTTTCTTCCAGAGGGCTTCCTAAATATCCAACACTTGATCATTGCTTTTTCCGTAGTTCTCCTGGCACTGCAACTGCCTTAGAGTTGGTTTGGTGTAAGATGCTTCGTGTTTTCATCTACTGAACACTGTATCTCTCCAAACAGAAAGGAAGTTCTTTGATGTTAATACCTCTAGAGCCTGGTTACATGGTAGGCATTATTTCCAATGATGATGGAAATGCTGTTGCAGAACTTATTTCCTCAATGCACATTACAAGTGAAAATGTAACAATTCAGTAAAAACTTAAGTACATTGAAGGTATATTTGTCATCACTTATTGATGGGAGCTTAGGATTGTCTACAATGTAGAATGGACCCTTATGCAGCATACCACCTGAACACAAGCCCATGGGGGTTCTGGTCATAAGAATATCCCACAGATAAAAAATAGCAGGAGTTTTAGAAAAGGGAGGTATTACTTGTTGCCAGGGAAAATCTGGAAGGTTTAGGGAAAGGTATTCCGGAGCTAGATAGTGATGGGCTTAAACTAAAGACAAAAGGGAGCAGGAAAGTAGGCGGGAAAGACTGAGGTGGGGACGAAGGCACAGGGCTTGGTAGGACTTGTCAGCTGCTTATGTGTTTGTCTTACAAAGTCTGCTGGAGAGCAGGGCAGAATGTTAGATGAAATAACAACTTAAATAGCAATGGGTATCTGCTAACCTCCCACACTGGCATATCTCTAAGATGGGGCAATGATTGAAAATGGGGAGTCCTGGAAATGCAGACAAAAGGCCAGCTTGTGCGGAATCCCGAATACCATGAGGACTTTATCCTCGGCAATGCAGATGGGGGAGTGGAGGAGGGAAGGCTAGCAAAGCGGAAGAGTGCTGGGAGCATGGTGAGTAACATGATCAAATTTGGGTTTAAAAATCACTCTGATATGCTGGGCCCCAATGGCTCACACCTGTAATCCTAGCTACTCAGGAGGCAGAGATCAGGAGGATTGTGGTTCAAAGCCAGCTCTGGGAAATAGTTTGCAAAACCCTATTGAAAAAACCCATCACAAAAAAGGGCTGGTGGAAGTGGCTCAAGGTGTAGGCTCTGAGTTCAACTCCCAGCACCTTGTACACACACACACACACACACACACACAAACACACACACATACACAATCACTCTGATAGCAGCTGGAGTATGGTCTAGAGAGAGGAGTGAATGGGGGAGAACAGTTGTGAGTTAACAGCAATAGTCCAGGGACAGATGAGCTATGGCAGAGGCACAGGTCAGGGACAAGATTCACTTTGACAAGACTTGACAGATAATGAGGATGTGACTGAAGGAGAAATCAAAGAAAACTGGTGCTTTAACTTGATTAAAATAGGAATGCCAAAAATTAACAAGGAAGGAATGAAGAAGTCTCTGGATTAGAGGTGTCTGGCAATTGAATTCTAGATATTCCAAGTTTGAGGTCCTGTGGCAATATCCACTAAGGAGTTTAAAGTGTTGATCTAGACAGAGTTCAGCCAGAGGTCTGGACCAGAGTGGGGGAGGGAGCTGAAACTGTGAGGGTGGCAGAGGGAAAAGCACCAAAAGTGAAGTTCTGCTCAAATCCAACATTGCATTCTGAAGGGAAAAGAGCTGAGCAACAGTGAAAGAATTAATGTAACCAAGAAAGGTCTCACAGTGTCCCAGGGAGGTTTTAAGGAAGGAAGAAATTTTTGTAAATAATATCAAAGAGGTATCAAGCAAGATAACAAAATTAACCCCTGCTAAAATGAGAGTAGTTAGAAGAGGGTGGTAGCAGAAGCCAGACTGCTGGTGAGAGAACTGGTTTCCAGACACATGAACGCTTTTGCTTTACCTTCACCTCCACCGTGAATGGTGGAACACAGGCGTTTTCGGCTCTGCCCACTATCACTTCCTCTAAAGGGTCCCATTCATTGTAGGAGGAGACAGGGCAGTCCTTGGGCAGAGGGTCAGTGGCCTTGTCTTCAGCTGCACAGGAATTCTGGGAGGAAGCTGTAGCTGCCTGGGTGCTCTGGAAAGTTCGCTGCACCCATCCAGTTAAGATTCTTCCAAGCTTTCAAGGACAACAACAAAAAGATTATTGTGTAGCCCTATTCCACACGTCGGGGGTAGGAGAAAGTGAGATGGGGCAAAAGGGTGTAAACTCAGCATAATACAGTCAAACAATTAGAATCCGTTAGGAGATGGTAAAACAAGATGTTAATGGTGCCTGGGTATAGAGTGACTATAGGTGATTTTTACCTTCTTAAAAAGAAACTCAAGGTATTTTTTTCTCCAGTAACCATACACACACCATCTACAGCTTTACAAACAAGCTTTAACCAGCTTTCAGTAACTTCCACAGATGATGGGCCTCACTCCTTCCAGATAACTGCCCCATAACTCCTTTGCCAGGACCAGCTGGAGGAAGGAACCTCCTTTCCCCTTTAGTATCAAGTGTAACCATTAGGCTTTTGCCCCTCTTCTTCAAATAACAATGTGGAAGCATTTGTAAAGGACCTTATCGTTCACAATAATCAGCTTTAAACAAATTATTTTGTCACCTGACATACACTTCACATTCTTTGTCATGACCAGCTGTCACGTGCTCCATATTATAGATGGTCGACAGTTCCCTAGCCAACACAACGATTAAACCAGGCACAAATTTAAACTAAAAAGGAGATCTAAGCATTTGAAAAAAAAAAAAACTTTTTAAAATGTAGGGGCTATAAAATCTAGAGCATGGAGTCCCTTACCCACTAGGCACACCCCCAGACCCCTAAGTCTCTGTTTAAAAGCTTTAGGAAGAAAGCAGGACAGGCACAGCGGTGGAGACCAAAGCAAGAGGGAGAGTAGCAGCTGTTCCGGAACCAGTTGCTGGGGAGTCAAACTGCCAGAGCTATTCCTGTCGGAGAAAGGGAGGGTCTGCAGCCATATGCGGACATCCTGGGGACAGGGTGAACTCACTCAGCTCGTCTGGACTAGGGACTTGCTTGCTCTTGGTCCCCGAATCCTACTCTTCTCCCATCATCCGCCCCCATACGCGTTTCCCCGAATACTCCTCTATTCTATGCCTACGTAAGGCATGAACCCCACTAACGCCATACTTTCACTAAGGAGTCCCTGGTCGTCCCCAAGCCTGTCCCTGAACGGGAAGCTCCGTGGAGCCAACCAAAGTCTTGCGAGGAGGGCGGCGTCCCCCGCGCAGCGAGTCACCGCGGCCCGAGACGCGCAGAGTGCAGCGCACGGTGCGGGGGCGGCCGCGCCGACCCCAGTCTCCTAGGACCCGCCGACTTCCTGGCGGCCAGCAAAGGCTCGCGAAGCCGAGCTTCCACTGGGGACCCGACAGGACCCCCCGGCTGGGGGAAGCGAGGGACGCGGCAGCGCCGGGCAGGGAACGGGGACCGCTGGGCGAGGGAGAGGCAGGCCGGTGGCGCACGCACCCGAGACCCGATGTAGTGCACCGCTTCGGCGCCGCGGCTCCCGCCGCGCAGACACCGCACCCGCAGCATCGCCCCAGCCCGGCTGGTCCACGAGCGGAACGTCGCCTTCGCACGAGCCTCCCTGAGCGCGCCCGGAGCGGGATGTGCGTGCCGCGCGCCCGCGGCCTTTTGTAGCCGCGCCCCGCCCCGCCCCGCGCCCCGCGCCCCGCCCCGCCCCGCGCCCCGCGCCCCGCGCCGCCCATTGGCTGCCGGGAACAGGTGGTGGGGCGGCCGGCCCGGGGTCTCCTGGAATTAGGAGCTCTTGGAGAACCGCTCAAACCTGCGGCTTACCGCCCCCCACCGCCCCGCACCCCGCGCCCGCTTTTTTTTTTAGCTTGTCAGTCCTTTGGCGTCCACTGCACACCGCGGTGCCTGATGTCTCTGCAAGACGCGACTGTCAACCAAGTAACATTAATATTATCTGCAATATGTTTTAATTGCGCATTTCGGGATTTGAATGTGCAAAGCGTGAGTACGTTTAAATTCACTTATGTTGGAGATCCAGCCCCTCATTTTACAGTGAAGGACAAGACCTAATGATATGATACATGGCTTCTTGAAGCAACACTGGGGGGGTTGAGGCAGGAAGGGACCAAACCTGAGACGCAGGTCATCTGCGACCTGGGCACTGCGTTTTCCATCCACTAGCCTGTTGGCTGTTTTTGGAACACTGGCCATTTCAAATGGTCTTTGGCTATGTGCCCATGGCTTGAGAAAGTCAGTCATGAAAATAGAGACAAAGGGGAGTCAGAAATAAGGGAGGACCGCAGATAGACCTTACATTTCATGTATTAAAATGTTTGTTTCAACGTGATTAAGGTGCTTTTTTTAGAAAAGTAGCTCCCTCACAGTGCAGTCTTCATTGCTACAGCATTGTAAAAGCAAAATTACAGAACTCCATCTAATATTTAAGTTCCCAGAAGAGACTAGATTTGAATATTTCTTTTCTTTCTTTCCTTTCCCCTTCCCCACCTCTCTTCTTTCTTTTTTCCTCTCCTTTCTTTCTTTTTGTGACAGTCTCACTATGGAGCTCAGGCTGGCCTTGAACTCTCAGCATCTTGAGTTTTGAGATTGCAGACATGCATCACCATGCCTGGCCAAGTTTTTTATCTTTGCACCCACAAAATATGCGAGTGTTAATTTTCAGTGAGTTGTGTTTTAAATTTTGATGTTTCAAACTTGTTTTCCAGCATTGGTGGGTAGAAGGCAACAATCAGGATGGAGAGCTTTGGAGAGAGAATTGGGAAAGCTGGACTCTGGTCTTGGTTCTGTTATAGATGTGTCTTCTTGAGTTGCCTTCTTACTGCAATGAGAACATTTACATTTATTTTCCCTGGCACATGGGGGTGTCCAGGGCCAAAAAAGAGAGATGTAGAACCTGGTGTGGCACTAAGTTATGTGAATATGAAGTAATATGTTACTATTCTACAGTAGAGAGGCCCCTAAATGTCTTAATGTAGTGAAAGGAGCCAGGAAGTCTAGGTTCATACCTTAGCATCAATACAAAAATGCCTTATGACTTGGTACCAAATCCCTTGACCTTACAAGTGAAGGGTCACATTTCTAGTGAAGGCTCTGGGGAAACTTTCACATTTCTAAAAATTTTAAAAGGATTTTCTCCCAACAGTAAATTGTAGCCACTCTGAGGTTTAATTCTCATGGTGTTTACTTAGGATTACCAGAGATGCGTTTCTCAGTAAAGGAATTTAAAAGGTTGGTAAGTACACAAAACAAGACCTTGACTTTGTCCTACACCTTTTTCTGTCTGAGATCTGAGGCCATCCAAATGTCAGTCATTAAAAAACACTATTTTAATTTTGCAGATGTAAGAATTAGGAGCCTGAAATAAATGAGACTAAGTTGTAATTAGGTTGTACATTTTTAAGGGTTCTAATTATAGTCATACAATCATGCCTTTATTTCTTAGAATATGTAAGGTTTTGTTTTTATTTGTCTTTTTTTTTTGGAGGTACTGGGGTTTGAACTCAGAGCTTTGTGTTTTCCAGGCAGGCACTCTATCACTTGCACAACATCCCCAGCAATTTCTTAGAATTCAGTAGAAAATGTGTGGATAGAGCCACCCAAAGTCCTACTGTTATAAAAGCAACCAGAGCAACCTCCCAACCCTTTTCTTTCTTTTTTTGTTTTTGAAAAAACATACTGGGTTGTTTATCTAGTACTAGGCCAACTCTGTGAAGGATCTGTAGCAATCCTTGGCAATGCATGGTCCTTAGCTGGTACCTTATTCAGAAGAAATGGCATAGAGTGAGAGCTCTTGCTTTCCCTTCCCCACAGGTGATAGATAACATTGATAACTTCATCCAAACCAACAATTTTAGGATCTCAGTGGTCTCATACTTACTGGTATGCAGAGTCAAGTTGAATAGTAGTGTATTTAGGGGATAAGAGGATAAAAGGACAGGGAAGGGAAAACACATCAGAAACATGGGGAAAGGTTTTGATTTTTCAATTTTTCCATTACTACTGTTGCTTTGGAGATAGGCCTAACTACCTGGTTTCAACCAATAAACTACAGAGTTTTTAAAATGTTGCCCTGAGATTAAAAAAATCAAACAAAACAACCAGGTAGGATACTTCCAAATTAAATCAGAAAAAAGATGGGCTTACTCAAGTTCAAACAAGGTGACTAAAGTTTATCTTCATAGCCAGAATGTAATTTAAGAAAGGTGTGATTTTTTAAAAAAGTATTACTTATACTTCATTAATAAAATCTCTAAAAGACACACAAGATATTGAGAACACATGTGTCACCTGAGGAGGTGACCTGGATGACTGGGGGATAGAGGTAAGAGAAAATTTTTTACTATAAACCCGATTGTGCCTTTGAATTTTGAACATGCAAATGAATTACCTAATATTTAAATATTTAAACCACTGCATTTCCAGAGGTGTGACTGCCAAAATGGAGGTTTTTTTTTTTTTTAAAAAGGAAGCTCTCTAAGCTGGGTGCTGGTGTCTCACACCCATAATGTAGCTACTCAAGAGGCAGAGATCAGGAGAATCGTGGTTTGAAGCCAGCTTGGGCAAATAGTTTGTGAGACCCTATCTTGAAAAAAAAACATTATGCAAAAGGGCTGGTGGAGTGGCTCAAGATGTAGGCCCTGAGTTCAAAGCCCAATACTGCAGGGAAAAAAAAAAAAGAAGGAAGCTCTGGGCTGGGTGCTGGCAGCTCATTCCTGTAATCCTTGCTATATGGAAGGCTGAGATCAGGAGGATTGCAGCCATGAAAATTGTTTGTGTGACCCCATCACCAAAATAACCAGAGCAAAATGGATTGCAGGGATGGCTCAAGTGGTAAAGTGCCTGTTTTGCAAGCATGAAGTCCTGAGTTCAAACCCCAGTCCCACCAAAAAAAAAAAAAAAATAGGAAGCTGAAGTGCACAACCTATTAGAGTCTATTCATCCTGTCCTACCTAGAGATAGAATCAGGATATTCTAGTTCTTGGAAAAGTGAAACCTATTGAAGTCATTGGATTTTAATGAAATCTCCCTCAAGACTATCACTTCCTCCAACTTCTGACCTTCTCAGAAGCAACCTTCTCATTCCTGGGAACTTTGACATGGGAAAGGACTTATCCTACAGACTGAACCCAAGTGATCTGGTTGCTAGAAAGATAGGGCCCTCACTGTAAAGTATCAAATCAATATTCTAGCTTCTCTGTCAGAGTTTTCTTCTTCTCTTCCTTCATCTTTTGATGCTGGGGATTGAACCCAGGGCCTCATATATGCTAGGCAAGCACTCTACCACTGAGCTACATCCCCAGCCCTTAATTCCTCTCCTTCATATTCTCTGTTTTCTGCCTGCCTGTTCAATTTGGATAAATGATGAAACTTAACTTTCTGGACCTGAAATGTGGGACTGGCCTGTCCCCACACTATCCAGTGTTCTAGCTCATAGTACTTATACTATCCTGGAATTGCCTGCTGATCTGTTGGCTCCTTAAAAAATGTGAAGCTTGTCTTGTCCTCCACTGTGCCCCTAGCACAGCACCCGACACCAAACAGGCCTTAATCAGTCAGTTGTCCATGTTTCTCTGAAAGCCCAGACATCCTTCTTTGACATCTTACAGTCTCTGATTTCAAATGAGTTGCAAATTCTTAATGCAGGCACCCTCTGCACTGTTTGCTTACAAATCCTTTCAGGATTCTTAATGTCTGTGAACAGCTGTGTTTTCATTGCCCAGCATCTCCTAAGGAAGGGATTCCTTCATCAGAAGACAGCTGTAAAATAGTAGCGCCAGTGAAGCTAAACCCAAGTTTTCTCCAAGTATTCAAAATAGTATCAGCTTAAGTAAGCACTCAAACTGATCTGGCTTTAAGAAAACAGGAAGAAGCATCTGGAATCTTTCCCAAGGGACCTTCTTACCTCTTTCATTTCAGTCTCCCAAATCCTTCTGGAATTCAAAAGCAGTAAACAGTTCTCTTTTAGGGTGCAACTAAACTTAAAACTGAAAGGCAAAGGTCAACTCATCTGATAATGTTTTGATATCAGAGTATAAGGTGGGTAATTTTTGTTAATGGAAAAACAACTGCCCTTGTTTCAGTCTCATCTCACTCATTTTTTAAAATAATAGCTTTATTGAGATATAATTCACATAGGATAAAGGTCATCCTTTTAAAAGAGAACACAATCCAGTGGGTTTTAGTATATTCAAAGTGTTGTACATCTGTCACCACTATCTAATTTCAGAACATTTTCATCACTCCCCAAACAAACCCTGTACCCACTGTCAGACACTCCCCACCCCCTAGGCCCTGGCAACCACAAATCTATTTTTAATGTATTAATTTACCTATTCTGAGCATTTCATATAAATGGAACCAGGCAATATGTGGCCTTTGTGTCTGGCTTCTTTCACGTAGCATGTTTTTAAGGTTCATTCATTTTATAGCATGCATTCCTTTTTAAAGTCCAATAATTTTCCTTTGCATGGATATACCACAGTTTGTTTATTCATAAGTTGATAGACAGTTGTCATATTTTAATTCTTGGCTGTTATAAGTAATGCTGTTATGAATAATCAAGTATAAGGTTTTTGTATAGACATAAGTTTTCATTGCTCTTGGATATATAACTA